TTTGAATATTACATGTTAATAACTTGATTGGAATTATAACCTTGAGTTGACAGTTTGATACTTTGAAAATTTTGAGCCAGCCCTACCCCCAAGGGCTGTAGGGTGGGGCTCAAGGGAGTCAGTGTGCTAAAATTTCTTCATTTTCCTTGTTTAGAATCAGAGGTGCTAGTTTCAAATCCTTTTTAGTCTGAAATCTGTATGCTTGATATTGAATAAGGTGGTTTTATTGTTTTTTGTCACTTTGAATAATATTTCTGTTCATGTTAAAAACGAAATCAACTCTCTGTATAAATATATCAGGTGACCGTTAAGGCCCATGGGCCTCTTGTTAACTCACCTGGCCCAAAGGGCCAAGTGAGCTTATGCCATGGTGCGTCGTCCGTCCGTCCGTCCATCCGTCCGTCCGTCGTCCGGCATCAATATTTTACTTTAAACAACTTCTTCTTAATAACCAAAAGGCCTAGGCTGATGATAATTGGCCAGAAGCAAACTTTGATGAAGGGCTACCAAGTTTGTTCAAATAAATGACCTTCACCTATTTTCAAGGTCACAGGGGTCAAATATGTTTAAAACTTTAAACATAACCAAAATGCCCAGAGTGATGACATTTGGCCAGTAGCATGCTGGGATGAAGGGCTACCAAGTTTGTTCAAATGAAGGACCTTCATCCATTTTCAAGGTCACAGGGGTCAATTGTCTTAAAAAATCTTTATACAACTTCTTTTTGACAAATATTCAAGGTCACAGGGGTCAAATATGTTTAAAACCTTTAAACAACTTCTTCTCAATAACCGAAAGTCCTAGGATGATGATATTTGGCCAGTAGCATGCTGGGATAAAGGGTAATCAGATTTATTCAAATGAATGATCTTTACTTATATTCAAGGTCACTGGGGTCAAATAGGTTTAAAACTTTTATACAACTTCTTCTGAATAACCAAGAGGCCTAGGATAATGATATTTGGCCAGTAACATGCTAGGATAAAGGGTTACCAAGTTCGTTCAAATGAATGACCTTTACTTATTTTCAAGGTAACTGGGGTCAAATATATTGTTAAAAACTTTTATACAACTTCTTCTGAACAAGAGGCCCAATGGGCCTGCATTGCTAGTCCTTCATCCCAGCATGCTACAGGCCCAATTTTAGTACCCTAGGCTTTTTGGTTATTGAGAAGAAGTCGTTTGAAGAGTTTATGACATTTGACCCCTGTGACCTTGAAAATTGGTCAAGGTCATTCATTTGGATGAACTTTGTATCCCTTCATCTCAGCATGCTACAGGCCCAATATCAGTACCCTGGGCCTTTTGGTTATTAGCTCACCTGGCACGAAGTGCCAAGTGAGCTTATGCCGTGGTGCGGCGTCCGTCGTCCGTCCGTCGTCAATATTTTACTTTAAACGACTTCTTCTTAATAACCGAAAGGCCTAGGGTGATGATATTTGGCCAGAAGCAAACTGGGATGAAGGGCTACCAAGTTTGTTCAAATAAATGACCTTCATCTATTTTCAAGGTCACAGGGGTCAAAT